TGTGGGTTAGTGAGTTGATCAAGATTCGAGTCCAGCATAACCTTATTTGGTTAATTATAGAGATCATTATTTGGTGCTAGAATTGATTACATGCAAGTTTTGATTAGTTTAGTTTAGTTAGTTTGATGATTATGTTGGGAAAATGCTGATCAGTTTATTTGTCGTAGTCTTGAGGATGTTACTTTTACTTTTGTTGATATTTTTAGTCATGTCTCGCCAAGTCGGTTAAATACAGCCAGAATTGCGCATTTTGTTATTTAATTTTAAACTCTTTGAGAATCGAATAAGTTCTCCGGAGATATAGATAATTTTTTTATTTTTTTTTCCGTCCTTAATTTTTTTTCCTAAATAGCGACCTGCATTTTTTAGTTAACATTTCGGAAGAGATCGTCATTTTGAAAAGATACATGTATCACACTTAATGATTTATTGAACAATATCGCCCTAAAATTGAAATTAAAATTAAAAATGAGGGGGCTATGAAACAAAAGAATTTTTGTCAAACAGCTTTGACATAGACAAAATTATTAAAAGTATTAGTTACTTTTTACTGTTGTATGTGATTATGGACTTTGTAGTAAAAATAGCATATTATGCAACAAGTGCGGTAAACGGAATTTGACTCACGAGTTTATTTGACACGAGCGGAGAGAGTCTTTAATAAACCAGTGACTTAAAAAGTTTACCGAACGTGTTGCATACTATTACTTTTTCTACGACTGTTAGTTTTTTGGTACATTTTCGCCAAACAACACGAATACATTCACTTGCACATTGCCGTCAGAATTGACAAACGTCAAATTGAAGCCGTGGGAAATATTGCTCCCAAACCCGTTCGGTAAAACCTGGGAAATGTCCGAAGTGGTTCGGATCCGTGAGAAATAAAACTGACGTGGGAAAGTGGCGCTTCCCGCACGCTAGATCGGTAGGTAATTAGGTATTTTATAGACGGGAGTAGAAAAATATGTTTTAAAATGTTGAAAAATGCTATTTGTTATGAATTTATTATTACATTCAGTATCCACAGCGAGTGCAACCATATTCAAATTTGTTGACCAAATTGGATAGAAATTCGGCAGTTTTAGCAAGCCGACAAATAAGTACCATCGAATTAATCCTAACATCTAATTGTTTATTTTGAATTGAATATTTTGAAAATGAGTTGGGAATAGACATTATATTGAAGCCGCTATCATCCCTACAAAATCCACTCAAAAGCTTAGACCTGGAGACCTGAAATTAGGAGGCTAGAATTCTGTGATAAATTCTAAAAACAACTTGATGCAGATAATGATGAATGTAGTTTTGCAACTCATGGAATCTTTAATAGTCATAATGAACATAGAGAATCCCAATGAGCATCAAAAAGTGAGAGCTTAACGTTTGAGAAATATCAACTACTGATATTAAACAATATTTTTAATAAGTTTGGTGACGAATTTGAACAATTTAATATGATTCTATGCTCTGTTATTACTTACTCACTACTTTAGGAAATTAAAGAAGTTTTCAATATTAATTTCTTCAGGTTCTGAGTTGTTCCTTCTGGATTTCCGGTAATAAAATATTTTTTATATTTATTTTGAAAACGTATGTTTTTTGCCACTGTAATAATTAGTTGCCCGTAAGTAATATACATATAACAAATACTTTGACATAATAATGGCGATTTTATTTTTTGTGTTAATTTGGCTTTATTGTCAATTTTGGGGCGTTAATGTTTAGTAAATTATTAAGTGTGATACATGTATGTTTTCATATTGACAAAGTTAATAGCGTCAATTTGTAAGGTAGAAAAAACTGCAATGGGAAAGTGGCATTAGTTTTCAATTTTTTTTTATTCAAATGAAATTGCCGATTTTCGGTTTTTCCTAGATTTATCCAAAACTAACTATTGAAACAATTTTAAATTCAACACCAAAATACTCAACTTTGCCTCTAATGAAACAACTTCGTTTCCTACCGTTTCCGAGATCTCAATTCACGAATTCGAGACAACCTGCATTCTTTGGCGCATTTACATGGATCCAAAAATGTTGAGAGATTTTTGGAAAAGTGGTGAACCTGGTTTTGACATAATATTTCTTAAGAACTCTTCATATTATTATCGGAATTATCGATTTGTTTGTACCTCGGTCTATAACTCGCAGCAGATCATACAGCAGAAATAATTAAACTTGTAAAACGGGAGCATACAGTTTTTAAGAAATTGAAAGTATGTAGCTTTGAATTTTATAGAAGCTAGTACAATGAATTTCATTCGAATATTAAGACAAAAGTTAACATCGACTATAGGAATTAATTAGCTAAAGTTGATAATCTATATTTATTGACTCAAAAAAAAATTCTCTATACTGATACTTGACAGTTTTGAAGATTGCGACCGTCATCAATCTTACCTCAGATTCACTGCACCTATCGGGGGTAATACTGCAAGCATTGCAAAGGTCAAATAATTAAACTTACTGCCGTCGTGATAGTCCTGTGGTCCTAGCTTTTTCATTAGAGATTGTGCAGTTCCATTGCTAAAACCCTTGTCTTATCTTTTTAATCTTGCACTTAAGACAGATTCTTTTACTAATAGCTGGAAGGAGGTTAGAATAACCCCCGTCTTTAAAAACGGAAATAACAGTGAAATCTTGAACTACAGGCCGGTGTCTTTTGCGAGGGCATTCGAGAGGTTTTTTTTTTAATTTTTATTTAGGTTAAAAACTTGATAACGGAAGTTGAGCATGGTTTCTCTAACAAACGTAGTGCCCTTAGTAATTTTGCATGCTTCGCTCAATTTACCTCTCAAGTATTAGATAACCGTCTTTAAATTGATGTATTAAACACCAACTTTCCGAAAGCTTTCGATGGGGTCGACCAAGACATTTTTCTTCACAACCTTGTGGAGATGGGATTCAATGCAAATCTAGTATTGTTGTTTAAATCGTACTTAGCGGACAGAGTTTAGTATATCGAGGTGCGAGGACATAAGTCATATGAGTTGGGGGCTCCCCCAAGGGAATAAGATTGCCCCCTTCATATTTTCCATTTTTATTAATGATATAATTACTTGTGTGCTTGTCGCAGATGATATTTAATTAACCGTAATAAAGATACCTGCCACTTTCTTCAGAGCGATCTTCAAATTGTTGACTCTTCGTCTAAACTCAACAGATTGCCGTTGAATATTGACAAATGTTTTTCTATTGGTTTTTTGAACAGGCTTTGCTGTATTGGTTGTGATTATTTTCTAGGCAATATGAAACTAAAACGAAGTGATGGCTCCAAATATTTGGGATTTGAGGTTTTCACATACGTACGTACCTTCGCTGGCAATCCGAACATCTCCAATATTCTACCTTAGAACTAACTCCACCAAAGTTTTGGTTAGAAGTCCACTCTATAAAGCAATGGACATTTTTAATTGTATTTGTAGTATTTAGATATAAATGATCTCACACCGGCTCAGTTTACTTTGGCATTAAAAGGTTACGTTTCAGGTGATTATTGTTTCGCTTTAGAGTTTTGTTATTTTTTCCTTTTTGTGTATATACTATACAGCGATCTAGCGTGCGGGAAGCTTCACCACGGGAGTTTTTGGAGAAAGAAAAAAAATACGTTCACGTTTGGTAAACTTTTTAAGCCACTCTTTTATTAAACTCTCTCTCCGCTACGCTCCGCTCATGTCAAATAAACTCGTGATTCAAATGCCGTTATCACATGTCAGTGAATGTATTCGTATTGTTTGACGAAAATGTTCCCAAAAAAGGTCGTAGAAAAAGTATAGTATGCAACACGGCACTCGTTTATTAAACACTCTCCCCGCTCGTGTTAAATAAAGTCGTGACCCAAATGCCGTTTAGCGCACTTGCTGCATAATATACTATTATGTGGTTGCTTTTGGTTGGGATGGTTTTTACTTTTTTTTTTTAAGAAACTTCCACAGGTTACTGTAATACTTTTTTTAAAACTTCTGGATTCCTTCTGCGTCGGTTTTTGTTGAGTCGAACTGACAAACATTTCACCAACCATCCTGTTGGCTTCTTCAGAGCTTGACTGAAACTGGCTCGCATTTTACTCTGTACCTGCTTTTATATTGTTTGAGGGGGGCGGAGCTATGTGAGGGGCATAAACAGCGTCTCGCATGACTGATTCTCACATTAGGTTTCTATAGACTCTCGGATTTTTTGTTGGTAGAAGAATTGATTACATAATTTTAGTTTTATCGAATAAAATTTCTGTTTCGTGGTTGTGTTCGGCAACTGCTGATATTCATGGAATGCTGTAAACTCCTGGCGTCTCAAATGGAATTGTGTCTTTGATGGATCGAAGATGTTCGGAGATTTTTGGACAAGTGGTAAATCTGGTTTTGACGTTATATTTCTTTAGAACTTTTGATATGTGGTCAGTGATGTTTTGAATATAAGGAAGGAGAACAGTGCCAAATGTGGGATTGCTTTCGGACTCATTGCTATTGGAAGGTTGTGCTGAAGTGCCTTTTGTGATGGAACGCTTACTATCTTTAATGTGAAAATTATTAGAGAGAAGAGCAGAGATAAGGTGATTAAATTCTGGGTTCAATGACCGATGACTTCTGGGCAGGATGCTGATGTGACAATATATTAGGTTCTCTGTAAACTGAATGACAAAATGTTACGTGTGATTGTCTTTCAATAAGGCTATTTAAAAATACAATGGTAAAACGTATGTTAGGGTGTATAAATTTTAAACCGTGCAAGAAATTCTTAGAGGGATTCTGTGTCATCAACGCGGCTTAGTTTTAGACGGAAATTGTCTAGGCCTTTCTTCTCGATAGAATGTTTGTCAATTGGCATATTGACAATAGTTTTCTTTGGAAAACTGATCGCAAAAGATTCGAACGAAAAACACTTATTGTGTTATGTTTAGAAAATACTAATATGAAATGCAAATAATTATAAGTTATCGTCCGAGTTTCGTGTGAACGAAAGCAGTCACCGATGTAACTAATTGGATGCGTTTTAAATTTTCAGTTTTGGGGCCAGATTATTCGGGAGCTAATCTGGTATGCAGTGGCGGAAATTAGCACGCTCAAAAATCGCATCCGGTCGGTCACGCACGCGCACCATGCTCTGCTGTGGCCGCAGGAAGGTAAGCAACTTTGATTTTTGAGAATCGGACAAAAAGCTTTCATTTTTCGGTTCTAGTTTTAATTTAAAAATTATTCTCGATGGAATAAATTTCCGTTAAATTTTCTTTGATTATTTTGGGTGAGAGATTTTGGTAAGAACAAAACAACTCGTAATTATTATTAAATAAATGGTCTGTGCTTCGTTTTCTAGACATGATTCGTCATATAAATTTAGTTCGCCTGAATGTGCACCAAGATTGAAAAAAAAGGATTTTTTTTACCTAAGGCCCTTACAAGTAAACGTGGCTGAAGTTTAATTTGGATTTTGGATTCGGATTTGCAAATATTACAGCGGACCAGGTCGTTACTTACATTAATTAAAAAAAAAACATATTACTGTTAATAAGCTAAGTAAGCCCGGAAATATTATCAAGGAACTCCGAAAAACTGTATCCAATGTTGCGATACAGAAAATAATCCCTAAAAAAATCAATTAATGTAATTACTATTTCGCAATCTGGAAAAAATCTGACGTTGTCCCAGGAATTCAATCAGACCATTGGAGAGCTGCAAAATGATGTATTGCTCAACCACTTTGAAATCGTCGGGAAGATATAAAACTACCCCCAATAACGAAATAGCCAATAATTCGTTATATTTATTTCGCAATGTCAAAGACATCTGACGTTATCACGTAGAAGAGCTACAAAGTGATGTTTTGCTTACCTATCTTGAAATCGCTGTCCTTTTTTATTTCTGTGGTTAATTTTAAGTTCATTTTCAAAAGGTATACCTATACCTATCTCTTTTGGTTATAGAATTATTTGAAAAAAATTGTACAACCAGCATGACAACTACTTCTCCTATTTCGGAAACGACTCAAAAATTATTTTCCCTAAATGGGACACCCTGTAACTCTAAACGGCATCAAATACAGAATTTAATCCCCTATCGAATATCAGATTCTTTTGAGATTGCGAAATATTTCTTTATTTAAAATAATAGCGAATTTATGGGTATTTCATTTTTGGGGTTAGTTTCATATCTTCCGACGGTTTCAAGATGGTTGAGCAATACCTCATTTTACAGCTCTTCAATGGTCTGGTTGAATCTGTAGGACAACGTCAGATTTTTTCGAGATTGCGAAATAGTAATTAAATTAATTTATCTTTTGGGGCGAGACCAGGGAAAAGGGGTTATTTCCTGCATATCCAAAGGAATATGCTTTTTTTATTAAGGTAAGTAACGACCTGGTCCACTGAAATATTTGCAAATCCCAATCCAAATCCAAATCTGACCTCCATTAGAAGTAAGGATAGCACTGTGCGATTTAGAGTAAATAAATGGGACATCCTCTTTTAACTGTAATTTTTTATTTCTTCTATTGTTTGTTCCTTGTGTTGATTAATTAATAATGTAATATTGAGATTTTTGTGTTAATTAGATGAATGTGGATGTATTTCATCATATTTTTTATATAATATGTCATTGGGAGAGAACCTACCTAAATTTATCTAATATATCTAAAATTTATCTATGAATTCTTAATTTTTTGATCGCAATAAATGATTTAAACCAGTTACCTCCTAAATTCATATTTCGAGGATCAAACTATAAAAAGAAATTTTGGTTAACGTTAAAACTGAATTCCGGTTCAGTAACTTTTGCCTTTGAAATTTAACTAATTCTTAAATTGGAATTTATATGAGTCAACTTGGAGTCTAGTGAGCACTGTTTACAAACGTGGAGTGAAAGAAATAGTACAAACAGTTAATATGATTTTAGAACTCAAATGTATTTGATGTCAGTACTGTGGATAAATGAGTCTCTCATTCTTGACGCTTTGAAATTGTACTAAGATCCTTTCAGGCTTTTATTTTTAGTAAAATAGATTAACAATATGCATAAAAAAATTAAATAACTAGTTTTAAAATCTTATTAAGTTTAAGTAAAAAAAATAGCAGTTAGAACGGAATCATTATCTATTTATATCTATCGCCACTTTTAGTAATGGAATTTTACAAGGTGGTTGTAAATTTCAAAATTAACTAGGAACCCAATTTTGATTAGTTAGATAATTACAGGGTTTCGAAGGAGTACATCCTACTGGAATTGATGCGCCCTGGTTTATATTCTATTGGGGAAGTTTTTAATGAGTTAAACGAACAGTCACCAAAAATCGCAGTAGGAAACAAATGGCGACATTGAGTTGCAAATATAGAAAAATGAGAAACAACAACAAAACAGGACGACTTTGTCATAACGCTTGCTTAGTTGGTCGAACAGTAGTTCAAAATCAGTTTAGTTTAAACAACGTATGGCTAAAAAAGGTTGCTCCCTCCATATCAGCAGTCCAAAGTACCCTAAACCTGCAATGACCTACTTTGAATTAAACTTTATATACTTCCGCTGCGGCAATCAACTAAAAACTTAATTTTTGAGCTAACTTTATGAAGAAAAACATTCATTGAGTCAGTGTTATGTGGTAGTTTAGGGGATTGAAGGTAGGACTCTTAATTTTTGAGATCCATAACGTTTAACCAAGATGATACTTTAGTAGTAATCACAGATAAGTAGATTAAATCAGGTACTTCCTTTTTTAAATAATTACTGAATCAAAACATGTATCGACTCCAACTTGCAAGTTGTCTTGCAGGGTATTTATCAACCCGATAGTGCCCATTCTTCAATGTAGTCAAGGTCAATATAAAACTTTCGAAAAATTAATAATCAAATCGAAAAGAAAATTTCACAATCTCACTCTTTGGTCCAAATTTCAAGGTATTCCAAACCCGTCCTCGTTGAAATGTTTTTCGGTAATATGTTTATAATGTTTGGCTGGGTCATACATGTAACCATAACTCGAACAGCAACTAGGATGACTACTTTTACAAAAATAGTGATTGATCACGCAATTGTAAATTTTAGTAAGGATTGTTGATGTTGTATTTTGGGCAATTATGTGTCTGATCACAGATTTGTTTTCATAGAACTTGAAGTATTTCGAAATGATATCACCAAGTTGAATGTTTGTTCAACATCTCGAATTAATAGAAACTTCAGTGATTGCAAAATTCAGAATTTCAAGAAATCTCTTCATCTGGAGGATTGGTTTCATGTTTTTTCCGAGACGGATCTGCATAGTGCTTTTAATAGTTTTTAAAACGTTTTTTTGTATTATTTTATTTGAAATTTTCCGGAAAAAAGGTTATATGTTACTACGTCGTCCAAAAATAAATAATAATAAATGGAACCTAAGTTCTTTGTTCTGAAACCAGCTACAAATTTCGGATTCTGGCAATCCTTATGGTGCTGCTTGGAGGGTGATTTCAGAATTCAGTGTTAAAAATTTTAATTTAATGAATAAGCCGACCAATAAAATCAAGAATAAGCTTAATATTGTGGCGTATATATTTAATAACTACCTAAATAACAATATCGAAAAATATGGTTTCTTCCATTCAGTTGGATAACAAAAGAATTGATTTGAATGATCAGAGTTTTGGATCTTTTGGATCCCATTGAATACCAACTTTTTTATTAAAAAGAGTATTGGGTTTGATAATTAGGTGGTGGCATATTCCTATCGCGTCGGTTTTCAAAAAGGGTTGTTGCGAGTTACAGGAGAACGATCATCTGGTAATCTGGTAGATAAATTTCATATTTTTATAGATAATCAACATGGCTCCAGAAAAAACAGAAGCACTTCAAATACTGTTTATTCGTATTTCTGTAGGATAATATATTTTAACAGAACTTGGGGAAGCTCTTCACGCTTCTGGTATAAGGGCTAAGTCTCTAGATTAGGTCGGTAGTTTTTAGAAGGTCTTTCTCAATTTGTATACCGGAAATTTTCTAACGGTTTCTAAGATTGGAAAGTGAAAATTCAGCTAGTCAACCCATAGAGATGGGTGTTCCTCAAGGATAAGTTTTACGCCCTGGACCCTTCATATTATATGATAATTGTATATTAAAAATTTGGCCTGATATGTTTTGTGTGATATATGCGGATGATGTTTCCTTGGTGTTGAGGTGTGGAAATCATGATGACCTTTCAGAGAAGTGTTGTAGGGTACTCGATAGCTGATAGCATGGTTTCGAAAAATTAATCTATATTTCAACGCAAGCAAACCCATACTATAAAGTTTCATAACTATCAGAAACAATGTGGGGTGTCTAGGATTGAGTTTGGATGAATTTTTAGACTGGAAGACTCAATGTGATGCTCTTATTTCAATACCATATAGTGTGTAAATGATCGTGAGGTTTTAACTAATTTATACCAGGCGAAGGTGAAGTCCCGATTACATTATGTGATCAACGCATATTAACTCTAGCGTGTCTTTTCATTTTTGAAATATCATTGCATGTCTTTAACATTTTAGCGAAGCTAGTTAAGTTCATATCAGCTTATAATATCCAGATGGACAAATTCCACACAGGAAAATTTAGGATTTCCAACAGCACTTTCGTGGCGAGACGAGAAGTGAATGATGTATGCCATATCAGATCATGGAATATTAAAAGTTTGATAAAACACAAATCGATACTCTGATCACTACTAATCCAGTAGATAACCCGTGGTTATACCAATAATTAACCTAATTCCTTTGTATTACTTTGCCGGCCGATAACCATAACAAGTACGAACTATGCAAATCTAGCAAGATGTCAAACAACATAACCAATGACGTTTTCGAAAAATGAATTAAAATATAGAATTAGAATTGTGGATGACATTAATAATAATATAATTTTGAAATACAACCGTAACGACAGTGCAAAAAGTTTTAAATAATGAAAATATATGTCCTAACGCGATTCTATCAATACATTTTTAATATCATTACCAATTATTATTTTTAAGTAATTTAGGTCCTATAGAAAACACATTTGTCTCAGCAAGTCATAACTACTTGTCATTTTTGAAATCTTCTTGTCATTGCGTGAAGTGTAACTTGTACAATTTGGATTTTTGATTTAGTTTAACTACTTTGCGTTTCATGCTGAGGGTATATTA